GGGTGGAAAGAAGTCAAGAATGAAAGAAAGAGAGAGAGAGCGTGCATGGTGAAGTAAATTACAGCAGATGTAGTTAGATTAACATGTAATACCTTATCACTTGAGATCTCCCTTTTGACCCATTTTAAAGTTGTTTCCCTTTTTAATATTTTCTCCTTTCTGTTCAATTGAAATGTTCTTTGAATTTTCTAGTCATTCTAATTTTCTGTTTTGTTTTGCTTTGCTTTGATTTTGCTTCCTGTTTGTGTTCTGTGTTTCCATGTTTGAAATCCAAGGTAGGTAAATCTATCTGTAACTGGCTTGATAATTGCCTGGGGGCATGGCTGGAAGAATGGAGGTAAATGGGGAGCTAAGGACAGTGAGTATGAGAAGAAAATGTTCTAAAATTGATTATGGTGATCATTACACAACTCTTCTTAATGTTATTGAATGATTAAATTGTATAATATGTGAAGTATATACTAATAAAACTACTCCTAATGATTTATTAAAATAGTAAAAAGGGTAAACAAAGACTGGGATAAACTATTTGGCAGTGATACATTCAAGAAAGGGCTGATTTTTTAAAAATCTTTAGAAAACTACACTTTCATAAGAAAAACACAAATAACCCATTCAAATTATGTGCACAGAAGACAAATACTTTACTCAAGATGACAGCTAGAAGAGAAATAATCATACGAAGAAATGTTCTCAGTCATTAGCTGTATGAGAAATACAAATTAAAACAGTGATGAGCTACCACCTCAAACCAACAAAATTGAAAAAACAAAACATAAAATAATAAATGCTTGAGAGACTGTTTAGAGATTGGAACACTCACATACTGCTGGTGAAAATGCAGAATTATTCAGCTACGGTGGAAAACAGTACGGCACTCACATGAACAAATGTCTATAGAAATGCCATATGATACTGCAATCTCACCGATTGGCATACACCCTGAAGAAATAAAGAACAAAGCACAAACACATATGCACGCTCATGTTTATCACAGCAATTTCCAGAATAGCAAAAAGACAGCAACAGCCAAAAACCCCATCTTTGGAGGAATCCAGAAGTACCTACACGGGGACTGATGGGGAGTCTGTCACTGTTCTGATGTCATGGGTGTGCGACTGCACATAGGATGCTTTTCTTTGTATGTGTTATATTTTACAAATGAAAGGAAAAATAAAATTAATAAATACATGTAATAAAAAATTAATTTAAAAAGAGAAGATTCCCAGTCTTTAAAACATCCCTCCAGATTCCTTGCCCATACGATCTGAACACAGGTCGGAGTGGTTATAAAAGGAGGAAATGTAGAATTGAAACTGACTTCAATTATTGTGTGGCACTAGAGCAAGTTTCAAACAAACAAAAACTGTCAACTCACTCCAATTCATAGCTACCCCAAGTGTGTCAGAGTAGAATTGAGCTCCCCAGGATTTTCAGTGGCTGAGATTTTTTCAGAAATAAATTGTCCGACCTTTCTTTCAAAACAACTTTGAGGGAACTTGAACCGCCAACCTTTCAGTTACCAGCTTAGGGCATTCACTGTGCCACCAAGGACTCCATTGGAAAACTTGACCTTGCTATATATAGTTGTGAACCTAGGTCTATTCTTATAGTAATGTTAAACATTGAAGTCTCCTAGATAATATTTTTCTTAGGGGAATTATTACCAGAATAAAAAATGACCTCACTTTTTGTCCCACAAGCCCTCTGATTTCTAAAGAAACTGTCCTTTGCCTAGTTCTCCATATTTTGTCTTATCTCCATGCCTGCTTATTTTTCTCTAGAAATATTGAAACGTCTAAAATTAAGCATAAAAGCTATGGGAAAATGTTTAGTCTTATTATATCTTCCTGCTCACTGTTTCTATTACTATTTCTCTGTGAATCTAAAAAGTCATTCAGAGCCTAAAGATGCTTCTCTTGCCTTGTTCCCCTTGAAATATGTTCAAAGGTGCCTTTTACAAAAGCTTTCACTTCCCCTGTCCTTGCTCAACTTTCAGCCTAGTGAGGAGAGCTAAAGGAACAGGCGTGGACTGCCAAGAATCCTGAGCTGGTTGAGATGTGGGTGAGCAGGTGGGGGGCGGGGGTCCTGCCACAAGAAACTTGCAGCCGTCTCAAGATGGAACACCTGCAGCAGTTGTTTGAATGAGAATAGATAAAAAGAGATTCCAGAGGAATAAAAGAGGACAGATTAAAAGAGAGATATTGCAGGAAAAATGAGAAACCATCTAAATAAGGACCTACCCAAGTGCAGATGCTGAAGAATGTAGAGGATTGCAAGGTTCATTGGCACTGGGTTTAGAACAGCATTTCTCAACCTGTACATCGTGACCCCTTTGGGGAGTCGAAAGACCCTTTCACAGGAGTCACCGATTCATAACAGTAGCAAAATTACGTTATGAAGTAGCAATGATAATAATTTTATGGTTGGGGGTCACCACCACATGAGGAACTGTATTAAAGGGTCACAGCAATAGGAAGGTTGAGAACCACTGGTTTAGGGAGTCTTGCCGTTCAGAACACAGAGTTAGGTAGCAATGGGTAAAGGCTTACCCTCTCTCAAGGGGAATAAAAGCTATTTATAGATACAGGTTTCCTTTCTTTTGCTTTTCCTACTTTCCTTTTTTGGACACAAGCACTTCCAATATCTAGTCTCTCCAAAAGGAATATCATTTACACTTTTGGATTTCCCAGCAACATCCAGCAAAAAGCAGGGGAAAGAATTAGCATCCTGTAAATATAAGCCATTTGTCCATCTGTCGTATTGCGGTATCTTGGATATGGCTTTGATTCTAGAAATTATGCCACTGGTACTTCAAATATCAGTAGTCACCCAAGGTGGATACAGTTCAGAAATTCAGCAGAGCATCTAGACCAACAGGTTAGGAAGAAAACCCCAAATTACTGCCATTGAGTCAGTGCCAACTCATATCAATCCTAAAGGCAGGGTAGTATGCAACCCCCAACCCCAACCCCCACCACCATGAATTTCCAAACTGTAACTCTTCATGGGAGTAGAGTCTCATCTTTATCCTTGGAGCTGACTGGTAGTTTTGAACTGCTGATCTTGCGGTTAGCAAGCTAACACATAACCACCAGGTTTGGAAGACACCTAAAGTACACAATGTCTGCCTGATAATGAAGACGGTGCAAGACTGGGCAACGTTTCATTCTGTTCTACATACGGTTGTTGTGTACGTCAGAGGTGACTCATGGCAACGAACAATAGCAATAAATATTTCCTGGCGCACAGAACTGACAAAACCATTTCTCAACACACATTCCAGCCCTCTTGGAGGTAAAATTGAGGACCAAGGCTTATGCTTTAATATTGTGCCTTTGGGAATAAAAGACAAACCCTTGGTCTCCAGCTAGACTATATGGACCTAAGAAGTTCTGTCCCGTGTGTTCATCTGGGCTTCAAAGAAATTCTTGTGCCAACATAATTTGCCACTTATTCCTCTGAGCAAAAAATGATAATCCAGTTACCAACCAAGAGGAGGATCAATGAAGGGAACAGTGTTTCAGAGTCAGCACCTATCAACAGCAAAACACACCTTACCCTAATGAATAATCACTCTCCTTTACCCCCTCACCCAGTCTCAGATGTCCTCTGGTATCCTTTCTATTTCTATAGATCTGCCTATCTGCGTATTTCATATAAATGAGATCGTACAAGATCTGGTTTCCCATTATTGACCTCTTTCACTAAGTTTAATGATTACAAGGTTCACCCACGTGATCACTTGGATCAACACCTCATTACTTTTCATGGATGAATACGATAAAATTGATAAAATGTTGATTAAGAGTCCTGGTGGTGCAGTGGTTAAGAGCCTGCTTGCTAACTGAAAGGTCAATAGAGTGAACCTCCCGCCCAGTGGAGAGAGAAAGATGTGGCTGTCTGCGTCTGTAAGGACAGCCTTGAAGACGAGAAACAGCCTGGCTGCACTACTCACGGCCATTCTTAATCCTCTGAAGAAAAACTTTGAAAGTTGAAGAAAGATTGTTATAGTCTGAGTTACACACACACACACATACACACACACACCAATCTGAGAAAAGCAAATATTTGCCAAAGGGGTCACAAGTTGAAACTGACAAAAATATCCCCAGAAAAAAAGGTGGATTCTGTTCCACTCCAGCAGGACACCACCAAGTACCAGCCACTCTGGACAACAGTCGTGAGTGCACAGCACCTTCCCGCTCTCTGATGACTGGGAAGACACTGAATGGGAACTTGACCACAAAGATACAGAAGCCTTTGAGCACCAGGACTGCAAGGGTCCCAACCCACTCACTGCACACCAACCTTACTGGGCAAACATGGGTCTGCCATGCACTAGCTGCCAGCGTCCGGCTGGACCTCTTGGGGTTTGGCCTGTGGCAGTTTCCCAGGAGCAGCTGGAGAACTGACCATCTCCAAGTGAGAACAGAATCAAGAGGGCACAGATTGGAGGAGATGGCTGGCTCACTGGTGAGTGGGGGTTTCTCCTTGGGTCCAGGACTCAGGTGTTAATATCTGCCTTGCTCAAACAGTAACTGTGTTCAACAGCAACAAACAGGCCCAGAGGTAGATGTATTTAGTGAATGCCATTCTCATTAGTCACTGCTCTGGTTTGACTAATTGATCAAACATCAACGTGCTGGTTTGATCAATAATTGCCAGATAGCCCCTGGTGACTTGGGAACCAGTCTCAAAACCAGGACTTTGATGGAGCCTATATATAACTGTTTGCTGACTTCCGAATTTATTTTTAAAACATCTTTACAAAAAATATTCTAAGGAATTCTTTGGACACAAAATTCATAAGAACAACAGATAGCAACTTAAAATATTAGAGAAAAATTATTATGGAAAAAACACTTTATTTAGGCAATACTCTAAGTGAAAAGGAACTAAATAAGTTAAAACAAGGAATCATAGGCAGCATTCTTCTATGAAGAGATAAACAAGAGTAGAAGAAACAGCAGGCAATAAATACTCTAACAAAGAAGGTAGTGAACTGATCACAAAATAAAAGGAAATATTTTGAAATTGGAAAGAAAACCATGAAAAACAAACAACCTACAAAGAAAAATTAAAACTTCAAGCAAAAGAAATAAGATGAAAACCATATAAGCAAGACAAACAATAATATTAAAACAAAAAAGCAAAGAGAGTATGAAGACAACCAAGAAACAAAAGTAACATAAGAAAAAAGTCATTATGAAGATTGAAACCAGTAACACCAGAAAAAAATAACAAAATGACATCAACAAAATCATATTTATCAATAAATTCCACTGAATGCATGTGGAATGAATTCACCAGTTAAAAGACAAACAGAATGGATAAAACACACACACAAAACACAAACCGTTATTATGCTGCTATACGAAATGCACCTTAGGGGGAGTGCGGAGTGGAGACCCAAAGCCCATTTGTAGGCCACTGGAGATCCCCTTGTAGAAGGGTCTCGGGGAGGAGATGAGCCAATCAGGGTGTGATGTAACAACAATGAGAAATACAACTTTCCTCTAGTTCCTAAATGCTTCCTTCCCCGCCCCTCACTATCATGATCCAAATTCTACCTTGCAA